GGAGGAGGGTGACGAGGACAGGGAGGGAGAGGGGGGGGAGGAGGAGGAAGGAGCGAATGGCAGCGGCGCGGATGAGATGGTGCTGCCGCCGACTAGCGCTTACAGGCGGCTGCTCACGTATCAGGTGGGGGGATGAAGGACCGGCGCAAGAATGTGTGTGTGCGTTCCATGGCGGAGTGGTTGTGCAAGTGCACATGCGTGCGCACATGCAACTGGCAAAGCTTTAATCACAAAGTCACCACATCGCCCCACTGTCTTTGTTTGTGCGTGGGCACTGCGTGTGCCGCTGGAGCAGTACAAACCGCAGGCGTAGAAGTGCGCTTGAGAGGGTTCCTCCTGCCGCTGAGCGCTCGACAGCACTGGCAGGATTGCCTCAACAGACTGCTATCCCGGCTTGCCCCGCCCTTCACAACCCCACAGGCACTGGCAGGGCCGCGTTTCACGGCCGATGGGCACCGGGGCTTCATCATCCGGAAGGTGTGGGGAAGCTGCCCTGACTCGCAGGCCCGCACACGGCGCTCGACCATGGGCCCGCTGGGCGCCGTGCACCTGCGCACAACCGCACCGGTAGTGTATGGAGCTCCCAGCAGCATTGGACGCTGATCTGATAAGGTCGTGCACTTCTCAGATGGTTCGAGTTCCCCCTTTGTTACACCCAAACAAAGCTGCACCTCTGCCTTGCCGATGCTGAAACGCCCCTGCCAGGTGGAGCAGCGCAACCGCGCCCCGACGCTGGTCCTCATCCGCGCCGCCGACGCGGCCGCCGCGGCGGCGCTGGAGCGCCAGCAGTCGGAGCAGCAGGTCGCGGCGGTCCACGAGGCGGCGGGGTTTGCGGCCGTGTTTGATCTCATGCGGAAGAGCGGCAAGCCCGCGGGTGCGTGCTTTTGCGCTCGCTCGTACGCGTGCGCTCTCGCTTTCACGGCAAGCGGCGAAGACACTCTCTTGCAAACACAAGCATGCACAATCACGCAAACCCTGACCCGCTCTCGCGCGCGCACATGCACGGACGCGATCTTGCACACACAGCTGCACACATTGGGATGGTCCGCACGTCAGTCACACCTGCACCCTGCTTAGGCTCCCTTGCTCACCCCTGCACCCGACAGTGGGCCACAACCTGGCTTTTGACCTGGCCTACAGCCTCATCAGCTTTGCAGAGGGCTGGCTGCCAAACACGTGGCGGGAGTACCGACAGCTGGCGCGCACATGGCTGCCTGGTGGGTGCCGCACGCTCCTGGGCGGCCTCCGGCTGGCTGGCGCCACCCACCAAAGGGGTACCCTGCTGTGACGCGGCCATCCCCCGGCCGCCCCCAGCAGGCCTGTCCGTGCTTTTGTGCCTGCGCTGCCTCGTTGCCGGCAGCAGGGCGTCCCGTGCGCTCGCACCCAGCCGGCGCTCGGGCGCGCTGCCTGTCAATCCACCCTGTAGCCAGCCATCACACGCGGCTCACATTCAGCATACGCCCCCCCAGAGACCTCTCCTCCCCGCCCCACCCAAAACCACACATCGCAGGCGGCGTCTACGACACCAAGTATGTGTCCCGGCAGCTGCCCGAGGTGTTTGGGCGCGAGACGAGCCTGTCTGACGTGTACGCGGGGCTCGTGGAGGGCGGCAGGGAGCTGGAGGTGGATGCGCTGTTCGCGCGGGCGGCGGCGGCGGCGGCGCGCGCCGGCGCTACTGCGGAGGCGGCGCAGCTGCCGCAGATCACGCACGCGGCTGGTTTTGACAAATACAGGTGGGTTGGGGCGTCGAGGGTGGCAGGGACTCGCAGACATGTGCTGGCTGCACAAGTCAAACTCGTGCGCGCCACATGCGCGCGCTCACACACACACACACACACACACACACACACACACGCACACGCACACGCACACATGCACCCACACCCCGTCCCTCGTCCCTCTCACTCTTTCCTAACGCCCGTGCACCCGTCCGTACAACCGCGTCCCAGGGGCCTCGCCCCAGGGGCCAAGGCTCACGAGGCTGGCTACGACGCGTACATGACGGGCGCCGCCTTCGCCTGCCTGCTGCCCCTGCTGCGCGCCAAGGCCGCCGCCGACCCCGGCTTCCTCCCCCGCCTCGGCGCGGCGCCCCCGCCCCCACCCTCGGACGGCGAGCAGCAGCAGCAGCAGCAGCAGCAGCAGGAAGAGCAGCAGGAGGCCCGGGAGGGGCCAGGGGCACCGGGTCCGCTGGCGATTGTGGAGGGGCTGAAGGGGCGCGTCAACCTGACGTACTCCGACATGCCTTACGTGGCGCTCTGGGGCGAGGACCCGCTCCCGCAGCGGCCGACGGCGGCACACATCAGCTGGGAGGAGGGGGGGCTGAGCGACGAGGACGGCGCGAGCGCCGCGAACGGTGGCAACGGCGGGCTGCGGCGCGGGGACACGGTCAAGCTGGTGGTGCGGCGGCTGCAGCAGGTGCTGCCACGCGGCGAGGACGGCCGGCCCGCGAAGGTGCGGGCGTGGGGTGGGCGCCTGGTTGGAGGGGATCGGGGTCCTCGCGTGCGGCTGCATGGCGCTTGTCCGCAGCATGGATGGCACGCGGTACCTGGCCAGCGGTTTGGCGGGGCGTGGGCTGTTGCACGCTGGTCGCCCCACAAGACCGCGGCCCTTACAGGTCTGCATGTGGACACTTGTGCACACACACTCACACACACATATACACAGATGCTGCGCTCACAGTGTCCCCCTCTTATGTGTACTAACGCCCCGCCGTGCCGCCTCCGACCGGCGACCCCACCCGGCCGATGCTGGCAGGTCCGGCTGACGCTGCTGTCGCGCAACACAGCCCTGGCAGAGCTCGAGGACGCCACAGCGGTGGCCCTGCTCGCGGCAGAGCTGCCCCGCAGCGGCGGCGCCGTCAGTGCCGTGCCCTACTGGCAATACGCATCCGAGCGCTACGCGCGCTTCGCGTCGGAGTCGGCCGCGACGGCGGTGGCGGCGGTCGGGACGATACGCGCGGCAGGGGCGGCGGCCGACGGCGACGCGCAGCGCGCGGCGAAGCGACTGCGGACGCTGGAGGTCGATGCGGCGGCGGGCGGCGGCGCAGGGGCGATGGATGTGGATGGGGGCCAGGGGGCAGGGTCAGGCGGGACGCCGGCGGCCAGCAGGTGCTCTATTATGTGAAGAAGAGACTCTCCGGATTCTGTGTGTTTGATTTGATTTGGAAATACGCACGCGTACTATGATTTCCAAAATGACTCTGTGGCCTTTCGACCCGCCGGATGGGACTTGGGCAATTGCCTCCCTTTGCAGCGGTGGCCCCTGTCCCTGGCCCGAGTGTGCAAGAACAAACGACGACTTGCAACGCACCAGTGTACAGCATGACCGCTGCCTGCAGCTTGGCTAATCTCCGCACCCGCGCCGCCGCCAGCACGGGTTCAACGGGACAGGATTCACCGCGGAAGCACGTCAGTGTGTAGGGGGGGTATCTCTCGTCCGTGCAGGGAGATGCGGCGACCAGCCACACGCGCAGTGCTCTATACGTATGCATGTACCATTGCCTCAGTTGATTTCTGCAGAACACCTGCATGCCGCAGGCGCAGTGCGGTCAAAACTGTGCTGCTGGACAGGGGCAGCGAGTCATGCTGGCCCAGGTGTCGGCCTGGCGGCTACGCAGTCAGTGTCTGAGATTTCAACCCGACATATTCAAGGTTCACCGTCAGCCCTCAAATCGCGTTGTAACGTCGTAAATTACTCTCATGAATTCCCTCACAGCCTGAATACCGTATAAAGTCAACCCAGCATCCAGTCATGTCGATGTTCGCCAAGCTTTCGGTGCGTGGATGCACCGAGGTGTATGCATCAGGGCACCGCCCCATCACACAAATAAGCCGTTTGTACATCCTGAATTCACTTCGGCTGCACTGCCAACGTGCAGCACTGGTGCGGCACCCATGCGCCGTGCGATACACTGCTTACGGCACCATTCGTTGACGCACACCTCCCAACCGACTGCGTGTGACCGCAGTCTGTGCTCTCCAGTGGCACCTTGGACCGGGCCATTGGCATGGGCTTCGACCGCTTTGACAGGGTGCATGGTTTTTGTTGACCATGCATGGTGCTGCAGGGCGTCAAAAGCGTGAATTGCAACTGTTGCCAGTGGGGGCCTGACAGCTGGGAAAGCGATGCAGCCGTGCTGTCCGCTGCAGTCAGCTGGTGGAAAACGGTCGAATCTCGCCGGCCGGCAGCATTCCTGTCAAACGCCTGCATGTGCACGCTTGTCACCCGCAGGACGACAGCGGTTACATCGAGAAGAAGGAAGGTAGGTGCCGCAGCGCAGGGCGCGGACGAGGCGGGATGACCTGCTCAGCTGTCAGCAAAAGGGAGGGGAGCAATCTTGGATTAGGAGGGGGTAATGCCTGGGAAAGACACGCTTGCAGCTTGTCCAGCTTGTGCTGTGCACCGCATTGGGTTGGGAGACGGGTTTGCTGTCGCATCGGCTGATGTGTCAAGTTGCCGGTTCGGTGGACGTGTGGAATCATGGCGTGTGCTGGCAAAGCCGGCAGGGCACTTCCTGCCCCGTCCACAGACCTCCACGCATGCTTCTTTCCCCTCGTACGGCGCGTGCATGTTCACCGGCATCATAACAGTCACGGGCGTGATCGAGGTGAGCGGTCGGGTGGGGGTTCTGCGGTGCAGCAAACTGCTCGCAATGGGTGTGGCAATCTGGCTGGCGCGCATGTCGATTGCACACAGAGGCAGGTCCAACATCAGCTGAAGAGACCAAGGCGTACGGGCTTAGCAGGCAGCAGTGCACTACGCCGAACCTCCTCCGGCCTGCTTGCTCATGCACTGTCAACCATGTTGCTCTGACGCACGTGCCCGCCATGACCCCGTGCTGCCTCGGCCGCTTGCGCTTACGCTTGCACCTGCCCCCTTTGGTTTCAAATCGCGCGTCAATCCATCCCAGACCATCTGTCAGATCACTGGACTCGGCTTCATGCCGCCTGAGGCAATGGTTCACATGTTGTTTTTCAAGGTGGGTTGGCTGGACCGACTGGCTGGGGCCTGAGTTGGCTGTGCGCGTGCCTGGCGCTCGCCCCTCGCCGCGCACGCGACATGCGGGACGGGTGGGGGCGCAACTTGTTTCACGCATGCATTCGCGCTGCGCCGATGCCAGCAGTGTAGCGAGCGGCGCACTCGCGCGCCTGCCAAGCAAGCACCACCAGGTGTGCCCATGTCGCCTGCCCTTGTCCTTTCCTCAGCGCCCATGGGCCAGCCAGCTGCCCGCCTCGTACGCGCCCGCCCTGAACCCGCGCCGCGCGGCCCCGTTTGACCCCCTCGTGACCGACCACCAGACTGGCGGGCTGGACGGAAAGATGGATCGCCAGGAGTTCTCCCAGCTGGTGCGCCAGCTCTTCTCAATGATGGCCGACCAGAAGGCCGCGGAGGAGGGGGTGCCCGCGGCGTGAGGCGGCCACAGGGTTTTGAGGGTGTAAGCAGCTGCACTGCGTGCCCCAGTGGGTGCTGTGGGTGCTGTGGGTGCTGTGGGTCGAGGGATTTGATTCTGGTGCAGTATCGGAGTGGGACAAATGGCAGCTCCCCAGGTGCCGTGATGTGTTCAGGTCGAGAGGTGCTGTGGCAAAAGGGCCATATGGGATTGTGATATCCTTGGGAGTCTTTATTTGATCTTGTACACTTTTCTGTCAGATCCTTGTCGTGGTAAACTGACGAGTGGAGAGTTCTGGTTTGTAATGTTGCTTTCAACTGCTTTTGTCACCACCGGTACTGCAGAGGGAATCTCGGGCATCTTCTACTTAGTCATGCATGTATGGTGCACAGAGTGTGATGCCACAGCAGGTATGGTCGTGAGACAAGCAGCATGCAGTCCGCCAAGTGCTTTGAAAGGTTGCTAGGGGTTGGCTTTTGATTGAAGGGAGGCATCAAAATCATCCAAACACAGGTCTTCTTGTCAAACTGCTCGTGCTGCGTGACGGGTTGTCTCTCCACGAGGCGGTATCCCCCAGGAATGTTGCATCAAATGATGACTATGTGTTTTGTGACTCCTGCAGATGATGCTTTGCACCACGTCGTACCAATCGGCCGATCGGCCCTGCCAAGTGGTCTGCCTTTGCACATACGTAGCGGCGCGCCTCACCTGGCACCCACTTGGTGTGCTCATTGCGCCACCAAAACAAACACACAGCCCTCCTCCCCGCTCTTATTCTTTGGTTACTCCCTGAGAAATCCACCACAACCCGAGAATCACCACCATGTCTCTGTTCAGCAAGATCTCGGTGAGGAGTGCGATCGAGGCCGGGACACTTCGTGCCACAAAGCGGCACGCCGCGACAAATGCGTTTGATCATGCGCTTTTGCCTCATGATGCTGCTCAGCTCTACACCCGCGGCAGCGGGCCGCGCCAAACTGTAACCCGACGCACGCCTTCTCATGCATGTGGCTGCAGTCGCTCCTGTCCGGCGACAACCTGGACAAGGCCATCGCGCTGGGATTCAGTCGCTTTGACAAGGTGTGTCTGCGGGTGACGCAGGCAACTGATGTCGGGAGGGGGGGGGGCGCCTCTGAGAAAGAGGGCTTGGTTGTTGGCCACGCCCACAGAGGCAACTGCCCGCGCTCCGCTGCGCCGGCCGCCTGCTAAGTGGGTGCCGTACGCGCACCAACCCATTTGCAGGACCAGAGCGGTTTCATCGAGAAGAGTGAAGGTGGGGGTGGGGGGTGACAGAAGGGGGCGGGCGAGTGCCGGGTGCGCTGCACCAGCCGCGAGTGTATCTACTGCAACAGCTGGGGAGTGGGGAGCGGGCCGCAGGGCTTGTTACCCGCGTCATAGCGCCTCTGATTCATCCTCCTGCTCAGCGCCTGGGGTGTGGGACTGCCCAGCATCGGCGTTAGTAACAAGCTACGGCGTTTGGCGCTGCGCAGATGCAGCTTGGCAGGGCTCGATCTGCACTTTGGGGAACGCACTCCCATCCTGTGCCCACATGCGGGCACGATGTGGGCACCCGCACCCCTGCCGCACTGGAAACATAAGATCCAACTGCCGCGCTTTGCTCGACCCGCCCACGTTTTTCCATGCACCCGCATCATGCACCCACACCCCACGCAGTTCTTGGCGTGATCGAAGTGGGGGTTTCAGACGGGCGCGTGCGCCGACGCGGCTGCACTCCCGGCTGTAGCTTGCATGGCGGGGCCTGCAAAAAGCTCTAGAGGCTGCCAGCTGACAGCCCCCAGGATGACCAGACGCATGCATGGGGAGGGGGACGTGGGACTTCTCACCGGACATCTCATCAGCCGTTCTTTGGTCGCCACAGCCGGGCCGCTCTCCTTGAACTCGGCTCCCGCCCGACACCCCGCTCCTCGTCCGCGCCGCCGCTGCGCCGCGCCCCGCCTGCGGGCACCCCCGCGGCTGCAGACCATCGTCAAGACCACGGGGCTGAACTGGGCGCCCCCGGGCGCGCTGATCGACGGCGTCTTCTCCAAGGTGCGCTGCTCGTTGATTGCCTGCTTGATTGTGGTCTTGGACGACGTGTGACGGCCTCGATTCATCTGCATGTGGACACCCTCGCCCTTGTCAGGCCGCGCAGCAGCCCGCGGCACCTTGCCGCTGCATGCACAGCCCACCATCTCGGGAGTCCCCACGCTGCCCTGCC